CCCCGGCGTACTCCAGATTTCGTAATAAAAGGGAGGGGGTCTGGACCCTCCAAGACAAGCCATTTCAGACCCCCCCTCGTGGGAGAACCCTCCAAAACGTCGTCCCCAGACCCCCCCCCAGGCCCTCCAGGATAGCCTGGAGGAGACCCCCCCCCGAAATGAGACCCCCCTCCCTTTATTACGAAATCTGGAGTACGCGTCGGCGGATCGAGAAACGGAAACAGCGCCATGGGAAGGGGTGGACGGGGCAGGACGTCAGACATAGCGCGAGCGCACCCAGCTGGTCCTGCTCCCGCTGGTCCTGCAGTAGGAGCTCGGCCACAAGCAGACCGTCCACAGGAAGCCCAACACTGGAATCCCCAGATGTCCCTTGACTCTTGGGCCAAACCGGGCACCCTGGAGGCAAGCGGGGTGCTTCTTGGCATGGGCTTCCACTGTGCTCCTACTCCTCCTCCTCCTCCTCCTCCTCCTCCTCCTCCTCCTCCTCCTGCTCCTCATCATCGTCTTCCTCCTCTCGCTCGCCCCTTCCCTCCTGCCCATCCCCCTCCTCCGCCTCCCGCCATCTGCACCCTCCAGCCTCGCTATCCGCGACCAGCGCGGCCCTGGGCTCCTGCCCGAGGTCGTGGCTCGTTGTCGTCGTCCTCGTCGTCGTCGGCGGCGTCGTCGTCGTCGTCGACCGTAGGGGCCTGGCCTGGCGTCATCGTTCGGAGTTCGAGTATCGAGATCGGGAAGTTCGAGGATCGAGTTCGGGCGTTCGGGGGGCGTTCGTTTCGCCCCTTCGAAGCCTCCCAGGGCGCCCTCACATGCAGGGGGGGAGGGAGGATGAAGAGAGGAGGAGGATGGAGAGAGGAGGAGGATGGAGAGAGGAGGAGGATGGAGGGACGAGGAGGAGGAGGAGGAGGAGGAGGAGAAGGAGGAAGAGGAGGAGGGGGAGGAGGAGGTGGAGGAGAAGGAGGAGGAAAGGGGGGAGGAGGAGGAGAGGAGGGAGAAGGGGGAGGAGGAGAAGGATGAGGAGGAGGAGGAGGAGGAGGAGGAGGAGGAGGAGATGGTTGGCAACAAGAGAGAATAAGAGATAGGCCGGGAGAGGGAGGGAGGCAGGAGCACGGTGGAGACGGGAAGTGGGGAGGGAGGGGCGGGGAAGAAAATCGGAAGGGGGGGAGGAGGGAGAATCCTGAAATCTTGCGGTGCAGGCGCGATCAAAAAGACATCGGAAGGGGGGGAGACGGGAGAGCAAGACTGAGGGAGAAAGGCGCGATGGAGCTGACTGGGGGACGAGGGACAGCTGGAGAGACCCTCACCTCCTCCATCCTGCTCCTCTTTCCTCCTATCTCCTCCGTCCCTCTCTCCCACTCATCCTCATTCCACCTCCTCCTGAGGGGGGAGGGAGGGAATGGAGACAAGAAACAGGCAGGAGGAGAGGAGACAGGAAGGAGAAAGGACAAAGAGGGAGTCAAGATATGATGGGTGGCGAGAGGGTGACAGAGGGACGAGGAACGGGAAGAGGTGGGAACAGGGAAAGTAGCAGTAGGAGAAGTAGAACGAGGAAGAGTGGTAAGACGACGAGGATGAGCAGCACGACGATGAAGAAGGCAAGGACGACGACGAGTGAGAGCAGAAGCCCTGGGGGAGATACCAATACGCAGGAACAAGACCTACGGGTACAATCGGGAGCGGGGGTGGGTGGGAACCACGTTGCATCTTCGGGGGGGCCTTCTCTGTCCCAACGCGCCAACTATCCGTGCCGCATTCGAGCCGAATCCATGTCGAACAAATCAAATCCGCGTCGAATCGGCGTCGAATCCACGTCGGATCCGTGTCGAACCCACGTCGCACCCGCATCGGGCACAAGCAAAGTCCACAACTAGCAGGACAGACAAGGACACCGGGAGATGCAGCGTAAGAGCCAGACACGGAGAGGGAACAACAAACTGTTCCACCCGCAAGTGAAAACTGGGCCACGAACAAAAACAAGCACCAACATAAGACAGGACGTTCGGACGTCTGCGTGTATTCTTTGAATCGGCGCCAAAGGCGCGCGCGAAGCGCGCCGCGGAGAGGGTCCAATGCCGACCAAAGAAAACTGTGCGCCGACAGGGGTGGTGGGGAGGGATGTCCAGCGCCGACCAAAGAGATCTGCGCGGAGCTCCGAAAATTCATGTTCATGCGGCTGCGTGCTATTCGAAGGCGCGCAAGTGGAAACTGGGCCAGGCACCCGAACCCCATCAGGCCCCCCCAAGGGGTCCTCCTGCAGTCTCGTGGTACCCGCTGCGGCGGAGTCGCCAGCTGCGGCCTGATCCCGCATCAGCGCCTGCATCTGCTTCTTCAGCTCCTGGCGATCGCGTAAATGGGCGCTCCGTCTCTCTCTGGTTCCTCTCCCTCTCCCCCCTCCTGCTCCTTCTCTCCCTCATGCTCCTGTTGGCGGCGCGCACAGGGGGGTAGGGGGAAGGGGGAAGGCTTCTTAGAAGGAGGCTGCTTCTTAGAAGGTGCGGGCCTTGTCTATACATGTAGAGCCGGCGCCTTCTAAGAAGCAGCCTCCTTCTAAGAAGCATCCCCCCTCAACCTACCCCCCCTGCGCGTGGCTGATCCTCTGGCTCGTGCTGCTCCTCCTCCTCCTCCTCCTCCTCCTTCTTCTCCTCCTCCTCCATCTCCACCTCCTCCTCCTCCTCCTCCTCCTCCTCCTCCTCCCCAACCACCACCTCGCCTCCTGCTACGCATGCTTCCCTTCCCCCCCTGCTCCTCCTCCTCCCCCTCCACCTCCTCCTCCTCCTCCTCCTCCTCCTCCTCCTCCTCGTCCTCCTCCTCCTCCTCCTCGTCCTCGTCCTCGTCCTCGTCGTCCTCCTCCTCCTCCTCCTCCTCCTCCTCCCCTCGTCGCACTGGGGCTCGTCGAGGGCTCCCCGCGGACGAAAGGTTTCCGTTCCCTCCGCGTTCTCGTCCCTGGCTTTCGGCGGCGCTCTAGGGCGGCGAGCCCGCGCACTGCAGGGGGGGTCGCGCAGGTAGAGGATCCAGCACTGTGGTGTTCACGCTCCAGCGTGCTCCTCCTCCTCCTGCTGTTGGCCCTGATCGCACTCCTTCTCCTCCTCCTAGCGTTCACATTCCAGCGTACTCCTCCTCCTCCTCTCCTCCTCCTCCTCCTCCTCCTTCCTCCACCTCCTCCTCCTCCTCCTCCTCCTCCTCCTCCTCGACGCTGACAGCGAGTCCAATTGAAACTGGGCGAGAACGGGAACTGCTGTCGGTCTTCGTACCCCTTCATCCCGTACCCTTTCGATCGTATCGACTCCTGCTCCTCCAACTCCCCCGCCCACTCTCGGGCGAACTGCACCATGGACTAGGGATGGGAAGATCTGGTGCGCGGTCGCCAGATCCAGGGATCGGGGAAGGTACCACCGAGAAATGGCGCTAGAGCCGCCCAATGTGGTGGCGGAGCGCGCCGTCTCTCCATGGAAACAGGCCCCGTCGCGAATCCACGCGCCCGAACGAATGTTCGCGTGTCTCGGGCGGGTGGTAATGGGGGTGACCTAAATGACGGTATGATCGGCGATGGACAAACCTCCCTTTAGTAAACCTCCCTTTAATGAAATCGGCCTGGGACCGAAACCGACAGACCTGGACCCGCAACAATGACGGCCGCGACGCCCTCTCGCGAACCGAAAACGGCCAATTTGCTAGGGTAGGAGGTCTATCGACCTCCCAAAAGAAAAAGTGGCCTGGAGGGTCATTTGAGTCCCCTTTGGGAGCCAGCAGGGGCCTGAGAAGGGGCTCATCTCTTCCCCTCCCATTTCGGTCACCCCCCCCATCACCACCCGCCCGCGTGTCCTCGACACTCTCCCCCCCCGTCCCCTCGGCGTCCCCTGCGCCTCCTCCTCCTGCTCTCCCTGCTCTCCCTGCTTCTCCTCCTGTCTGACGCTCTGCTCCAGGTGCGGTCGCACAGCCACGACTGACCCACAACACATGATGTCTGTGTGCGAGCCCCCCACAGCCAACGGGGAAGCAGAATTCAGCACGCACATGCCCTAAAGGGCGAATGACCCCCCACCCGAACGGGCCGCCGAAGACGGTCCGAGCTGCAGCCCTCGTCAATCTGCAGAGCTGATTGCCTTCGTTCCCGACATTGGGCGTCGTTCATCTCACAGTTCTCATACAGTCGGGGCGTTGACCTAAGGAACCCTAAATAAGGAACGAGGCCCCTGTTTCCCTTAACTTAAACTTCGATTCCCCATGGAAAACCTAAGGAAAACCCAAGACAAACTGTAAAACAATCAAGGACCACCGAGCTCCTCCCCAACGAAAAGGGTTCCTTAGTCAGCGCCCCGACTGTAGCTCCCTGCTCCCCTCGGCTGCACGCAAGGCGTGACCCCGGGCAAGCGTGGCCTCCGGTGCGCGGCTCCGCGGGGGACGCGGGGCGGCCTGGGCCCTCTCTGCGTGGGTCCCTCGGACCTCTGCGGGGATCTGCGTCGGCCAGGTACCTCGGAGGGGCTCCCACCGTGGCGATGCGAAGCCTCGCAGGCTCGTGGGGCCAAGCTTCCACAGACCTCGAAGCTCCATCCTCAAACCCCAAACGATCGACGACGAAGAGCGACGGAGACGGCAGCGGCGGCGGCGGCGGCGACGGCGACGACGACGGACGACGACGGCCGACGGCGGACGACGGCGGACGACGGCGGACGACGACGGACGCCGACGGACGACGACGACGACGACGACGACGACGACGCTGGCGGCGGCGGCTGTGGACGACGACGACGGCGGCAGCTGCGGCGGCCGTCCGCTCCTGCTGCGCAGCCTCGCTGGCCGCGAGCTTCTCCTGCGAAGGGGGGAGGCGAGAGAGAGAGAGATAGACCTATATATACACATATATATATATATATAGATGAAAAGAGAAAGAGAGAGAGAGAGAGAGAGAAAAAAGAGAGAGAGAGAGAGAGAGAGGGACGCCCGAGGACGCCCACGCGAGGCGGGGATAAAATCAGTATCCACCGGCTGGGCGCCCACGTCCTGGTGCCCCCGCGGGCGGCGGATCCGGCCAAGTCTCTGGCCCCCGAGGGGGCCCGCACGACATCCACGGCGACCCCCGCCCGGCGAGGGCCCCGAACACGGATCCTCTGGGCGGCGGTCAGGCACAGAAGGAGGAGGAGGGGAGGAGGAGGAGGAGGAGGGGGAGGAGGGGGGGGAAGGAGGAGGAGGAGGAGGAGGAGAGGAGGAGGAGGAGGAGGAGGAGGAGGAGGAGGAGGAGGAGGAGGAGGAGGAGGAGGAGGAGGAGGAGGAGGAGGAGGAGGAGGAGGAGGACCGAACCCCTGCCACGAGCCCCAGCCTGGCCGATCCTGGGCCCAGGGTCGGTTGGCGGGCCTGTTATCCACCGACACCACCACGAGTAGGAGGGGAGAGGGGGTCCTCCTCCACCTCCTCCTCTTCTCCCTCCTCCTCCTCCTCCACCTCCTTCCCCCCTCCAACTTATGTAGAGGGCAGAAAATCCACCCCGGTAGCAACCACCCCGACGCGCGAAGCTGTTCAGCAAAAGCACTCAAAGGAAGAATCAATCCGGGCAAGGCTGTTTCGTAGACGCCCAGGTCCGTTCAGCAAACGCCAAGTGTCCGGTCTGGGTGGCTTCTCCTCCCTTGATTCTGGTGGTGGTCCAGTGGTGGTGGTGGTGGAGAACATTGAGCAGGGACCGACCGTCCCGGCATTCCTATAGTCCTACCACCAAATAACATGTTCTAAGAACAAAAACAATGTTCTTAGAACATGAGCCCTATGTGTTCAAACAAGACAGACTCCACCAGAGATGTTCTAAGAACACTTCGTGGAAACCACAACAAGTCCTTAGAATATTGTTTTGGTTGGGCTATAGGCGAGCCGGGACGCTTCGCCACTGCTTGAGAACGGGCCCCTCATCGACGGATGCCGTGCGGCGGCGGCGGGCGCCGGCGCCCGCGGAGAGCGGCCCCCCCCCCCCCCCCCCCGCGCAGAGGGGCGGCGCGCGGGCTCGCCGGCAGCGGCCGCGCGCGGCCTCGCACGAGCGGGGGAAGGAGGAGCTCGGAGCCTGGATCTCTTGAGCAGGGTCCGGCCGTCCCGGCATCCCTGTAGTCCTGCCACGAACCCAAAAAATGTTCGAATAACAAAAAGCAAGGTTCTTAGGACATAAGCCCGATGTGAGAAAACAAGACAGTCCCAGCCAGAACTGTTCCAAGAACATTTCGTGAAAACCTCGAAAGGTGCTTCGAATGTTCTGCGGTGGGCCTATGGGCGACCCGGGACGCTTTGCCGCTGCTTGAACCTCTCAACAGCGGCCGCGACCCGCCCGCGACCCGCCCGCACCGCTTGCACTGAAGCATCCGCGCCGGCGGCGAGCTCCTTCTTGGGGGACCCGGGAGGTAAAGGAGGCACCGATGTTGCTGCCCCCCCGGACCTCTCCTGGGGTGCGCTCTCGGGCGCCCGCGGAGGAGGCGGGGGCGGGGGGGGGGGAGGCAGGTGCGTACCCCCTCGGCGGCGCGCTCCGCGCGGCTTCTCTCGCGGCTTCTCTCGCGGCGCGCTGGCGCGCCACGCGGCACCGCCGTTGGGTGGGGTCGCCCGCTGGCGCTGCGGCAGCAGCAGGAGGGGAGGGGTGAAGCGAGGAGCCTCCTATTTCTCCTCGTATTTCTCCTCCGCCTCCTTCTCCTCCTCCTCCTCCTTCTTCTTCTTCTTCTCCTCCTTCTCCTCCTCCTCCTCCTCATGATCCTCTGCCTCCTCCTTCTCCTCCCCCTTCTCCACCTCTTCCTCCTCCTCCTCCTCCTCCTCCTCCTCCTCATGATCCTCTGCCTCCTCCTTCTCCTCCCCTTCTCCACCTCCTCCTCCTCCTCCTCCTCCTCCTCCTCCGCCTCCTCCTCCTCCTCCTCCTCCTCCTCCGCCTCCTCCTCCGCCTCCTCCAGTTTGGGCAGCGCTCTGGGTAGCGTTCCGGTGGCTGCCCGGGTCGGGCTCTGACGGCGCCCGGCAGGCCGAGGTGTGCGAGGCGACCTCGGCGGGTGGGCGAGCGGAGCAGAGACCCGCCATCGCTCGGGCGTCCCATTCCTCATGTATCTTTCGATGTTGCGCGTGTTTGTTTCGCTAAGTCATCCAGGATGCTCCTCCATGGTCCTCGCCGAGGAAAATATGCACACGACAAAGACAGCTAAAAAAATAATTCCCATTTTGTTTGACTACAATCATTGGCCTGACCTAAGGAACGATACATAAGGAACGAAGCCCCTTTTCTATCCCAAGGAATAACGCATAAGGAGCGACAAATAACACATAACGCATAAGGAACTGTAAATAACGCATGCAAGCCTGAGGAACGACCCAGCCCCTTTTGAAAAGTACGTGTTCCTTCTTCGAGCCGCTCGCTGTATTCTTGAACTGTCCTCCTGTAGAGGGACGGGCCCGACCTAAGGGTAGGCCAGCGGAGCAGAGAGCGAGTGCACCGCAGGGAACGGTGGACGGAGGCTGCCTCACGGGCCCTCCGGCCTCGGCTCTCCGCTGGCGCCGGAGCCCGTCGCCGCGCCGGCTCCGCGGCCTCGGGTGCTGCTTCTCGGGGGGGCGCTCAGTGCTCGCCACCGCTCGGACATCCATTCCCTGTGTTTTGTTTCGGTTTCGTGCGTGGTTTTTTCGGCCAATGGTCAAGGATGCTCCTCGATGGCCCTCGCCGAGGAAAAGACGCACACGTCCGAGCGATGCCAGGAATGGGAGGGCGACGAAGCGTGCACCTGTTGGGTCCATCAGGGCCCCTCAACGAGTGGCACGCGTGCCCTGGCTCCTGCACAGTCAGACAGCGGAGGACGGGGGGAGGAGGACGAGCCACGAGCCACCCACAGAAATGGGTCCGCGACCCAGGGGAGCTGCCCTGGGAGGCCCCGGGGAGCCAGGACGCCGGGGGGCAGGCCATGGGGAAGGGGACGAACCAAGGGAAGAGGAGGCGGAACCACGAGCCACGAAAATAAAGAGGTCCGAGCTGTAGAACACAGCTGTGCAAGAGAATAAAGAGAGGTGCACCCCTCCCCCCCCCAGCAAGGCCCAGAATCGAATCGCTAAGTCGGATCGGCGATCGAAATGCATCGGATCGGCGGGTATCGGCAGCCAAGTCGGGAAAAGGCGGATCGGCGGAAATCGGCAGCCCAGTACGGCCTCCGCTGAGAAATCGGAATCCAAATCGGAGTGCGACGTCGAATCGAATGGGAATCGGAACCCGTCGAAATCGACCCGAATCAAATCGGAGGAGTCGAGATGAGCCCGGCCCCCCCCATTCATCGCACCCCCAGTTCGCAACGCCTGGCCGACTGGGTCCCGCTCTCCCTCGACTGCACGCAAGGAGTGACCCCTGCTAATGATGACGATGACGACGACGACGACGACGACGACGACGACGACAACGACGACGATGACGATGACGACGACGACGACGATGACAACGACGACAACGACGACGACGATGACAACGATGATATCGTTATTATCGTCGTCATCGTCATCGTCTTCGTGACCCTTGGTGCTCGGCTTCAGGGCGCTGCGGGCAGGCCAAATACGAGCGCGCGCAGGCCAGTGACTACGTAGGGGGATACCCTTTTGGTCCCGCACCAAATGCCACCCCAGCGAAGGGCCACTCGTACGTGTAGCCGCATAACCTGATGGCTTTCCAGACTTGCCTCCTCCTCACCCTCCTTCTCCTCCTCCCCCTCCTCCTCCTCCCCCTCTTCCTCCTCCTTCTACTCCTTCTCCTCCTCCTCCTCCCGCTCCACAGTTTGCACGCCCGAAAAGATATGGAACAATGGGCTCAATGCCCAACGACAAAGGTTGTCCCAAACCAACAGCGGCCGCTGTTGGGCTGGCGGCTTTCTGTCTCGAGTGAATACAGTCCGCGGCGACAACGACAGCGAAGCGAGTCCTGTTCAGAATGAACAGGAACTGCTGTCGGTCTTCGTATCCGTTCTTTCCGATTATGTATCCATGTCGATCGCCCCGACACAGGCTGGGGAAACCAAAACAATACCGATACCGCTACTCCCCCGACCTCTCCCAGGGTGCGTTCTTGGACCAACATTTCGAGGCGAATCCAGCGGTGGCAACGAGGGCCGCCCAGGAGGCCTAAAAGCCGAAAACGAGGCAAAGGTAGCGGCATGGGTACCGTTGCCCCCTCTGAACTCTTACGTGTAGCCGACTGCCTCCCACTCCACAGGCTGGACCAACTCTCGGGGATCTACTGACTGGGGTCAATCCAGACCCAGGTCAGTCAGGCTCTGCAGGTTCCTGCACCCAAACGCGGGTCAATGCACCCCTGGCTCTGCAGGATCCGGCAAGATCCCGCGCTCTGACTGACCCGGCTGAGGCCATGCCTTCACTGTGTTATTGGGCTTAGGGGATTTTGTATTCTCGATGAGCTCGATGAGGGCAGGCGTCGGATCTCGCCTCGGGGACCTGCAGACCCGGGTCCATCCAGACCCGGGTCAATCAGGCCTTGCAGGGCCCTGCAAGATCCTGCAGGATCCTGCACCCAAGCCCGGGTCAGTGTATCCCTGGCGCTGGCCCCCACCTCTTTGATGGGCATGTTTTCCACCACCACCACCACCAGAAGTTGGAGGGGGAAGGGGTCCTCCTCCTCCTCCTCCTCCTCCTCCTCCTCTTCCTCCTCCTCCTCCTCCTCATGCTCTCCTCTTCGTCTCTCCCCCTCCTCCTCCTCCTCCTCCTCCTCCTCCTACCTCCTCCTCGTCTCCTCCTCGTCCTCCGCCCCCTTCCCCCCCGAACTTATGGTGGTGGTGATGGTGATGGAAAACAGGCCCATCACCCTTGGGCCCCGCCCGCCGCCGAAAGGGGGGGGGGCGGCTCCTCCAGCTCGCGGACCTTGCTCGGGTCCTCCCCGCCGCCCCTGCCCCGCTGCCCCTGGCCTCGGCCGCGCGGAGAGCTGCGGCCCCCGTGGGCGCCTGCGCTCCGTCCCTCGTTCCTCCTCCTCCCTCGCTCCTCCACCCCCTGGTTCCTCCTCGTCCTCCTCCTCGTCCTCCTCCTCCTCCTCCTCCTCCTCCTACTCCTCCTCCTCCTTCTCCTCCACTTCCTCATCCTCCTCCTCTTCCTCCTTCTCAGTATCATCGGCATTGTCACCAGCAGGTTCATTATCATCATCATCATCATCATCATCATCATCATCATCATCATCATCATCAGCAGCAGCAGCAGCAGCAGCAGCAGCACCAGCAGCATCATCATCATCATCAGCAGCAACATCATCATCGCAATACTTACAATCACTATCACCATTAGCACCATCGCCACTACCATCCCCATCACCATCATCACCACCGTCGAAATCATCATCGCCACCTCCACCACCCGCCGCCACCATCATCAACAACCATGTTATAATCGTCCTCATCATTACCGCTATCATCACCATCATCATCCTAATCGTCGTACTCATCTCTCATCCTCACAGCTCGCTCTTCCTTCTCCTCCTCCTCCTCTTGCCAGTCCCTCCTCCTTCTCGTCCCTCCTCCTCGATATTACCATCGCCATCATCACCCATCGTTAGCGCCATCCAGGTCATGATAACTTTTTTGTGTCTTGGGCCAAGTGGGTCTGACAAGACAGGACGGCATTCGTTCGCGCTCGGCGGAAGCGCGGAGAAGATGTATTGCGGACACAATTGAACTACGTGCTGCGACTCAACGCGCTGAGGAGAGGACGAACACTGGCACGACATAGACGCACCCACCCACAAACACGATACCATCTCCATCGCTACCGCTATCCAGGCCGGGAGGATTTGTTTGCATTTCAGGCCAAGTGAATCTGGTAATGCAAAGCGACGTTCGTTCAAACTCGGCGGAAATGCGGAACAACTGATTGCGGTCAAACTTGAAAGCCCGTGTTGCGAATAAGCGCGATGAGGAGATACCGAACGCCAGCACGACACAGACACACACACACACAGACAGACACAGAAGCGACAACACAACACGAACGACGAAGTGCGAGGAGAAATAACCAGAACCACCTAGGACGGACTCCTGTGAACAGCCGCATTGGCAGATTATCTGCCGCAGGCGGCAGACGCAAATTTGCCCGAACCTTGGTCGACGCCGGTCAGCGCAGTGCGAGGCTTGGTTATAAGAGTGGCTGAACAAAAAAACTGTCCTATCGAAAAGCGGGGGCAACGCGATAGCGAAACTCGGGTTCCAGAATTGGACCAGGGTACGGTACGCTGTCGACACCCAACGCAACAATTACGACAATCGGTGAAGCAAGCATGGCTGTCGAATTCGCCGACCACTTGGGGTCTCCTCGGCAGATAGGTAGTTCCCAAGAACACGGTCTGGCTGCGTTGCATTGGGGGCCACTGGAAGGTGCCTGGGTCACCATCTGCGCCAGCAGAGTTCCTGGACGCGTTCAAATAGCGCCAGATGGGACGGACAAACACGGTCCGAGAAGCTTCTAAGGTAGCCCGCCCAAGACAGACCAATAGGCCCCCAAGATCGTCCCAAGACGGCCCACAAAGCCCCCAAGAGGGCCCCACAACGGCCCAAGAGGGCCCACAGATGGCCCAAGAGGGCCACACGGAGGAAATCTAGAGGGGGAACTCGAAGGGCCCCCTGGAGCACTCCCCCACAAGATGGCCCCCCCAAACCGCCCAGCATGCCCCCAAGAGAGCACCAAGATGTCTCCACAGACCGCCAAGAGCCCCCTAGGCAATGCCCCAAAACGATCACAGTGCCGCTTTTAAGCACGGTTTTGGGCTTCACACGAGAGAGCAATACGCGGAGAAGGCGGCTCACGGTGCCGCCCCATCTCGGGTTGTCACCAGCTGGCATCTGACCCTGAAAGGCACATAATGTAAGCCGCTGCCGAAGCCGAGCGGCGGCAAAGAGGAACGGGATACGGGAGGAGTGTTGGAAGGAAGGGTGGAGGAGGAGGAGGAGGCGGAGTAACTACCCCAATACAGCCAAGTAACATCATAACCCCAATTGAGAGGAAAGGTGATCCCTAGAAAACCGCCCTGCTCCTCTTCCTGCTCCTCCCCCCCTCCTCCTCCTCCTTCTCCTCCTCCGCGATCCCCAAACGCTTGCGTATAAAAGACTCGCACGAAGAACAACAATCCCGAGGGAAACGGGGCCTGGACCCCCAGGGCTTCCCTTGGCATGCCCGAAATGGGTTATGGAAAGAAGAGGTGCGATGTGCAACAACACTTGTCGCCCAAAACTGGTAGCGGCCTCTGTTGGGCAGGATATGTTTTTCATTTCGAATGGACACCGCACGCGGCATCACCAACAACGAGCCATCTTCAAAATCGCCCCGATTCCTCCTGGGACCCGCCTTAGGTCCCAGATGCAGCTCGTTGACGGCCTCATGGGCCTAGGCAAAGCCGCGATACGGTAACCCGAAGACGGCGAAACGCCTCCCATACCCGGTTCCCTCGGGCTCCCTCTCCTACTTGGCGGACAGCGGATGCGCATCCCTGGAGCGCTGCACCGACGCGAGAGCAGAACAGGAGGCAAATCCTGGGAGGT